CCTAATCTTGCTGCAGTATCAGCCTCTCCCCAAAATGGAAAGTTAAACCAACCCACCAGCAGTGCCTGCACAGCCCCGGGGAGGTCTTCTGCCTTCCTGCCTCCCTGTCTTCCTGCCTCCCTGCCTACCTGCCTTCCTGCCTTTTGTGATGCTCTGAATTCCCCTATTTTGTAGGACTTGATCGTAGCACCTTTCTTTCTTAGATTTTATTTGTGTATGCATACAGAACTGGGGTACAGAAATGTAGGGGGCAGCAAGAGGACTCACCAGAGACAGAGCAGAACAGGCAGATTGACAAAGCACACTGCTGAGGGGAGCAGCAGGTGGGTCAGGAGAGGTCTGTGCGCCATGTGGTCACCTCCAGGGTGAGGATCGAACTTGCACTGAGGTGCCACGTCTTGGCTCAGCTTCACAGTGCAGCGCTCCAGCCACTGAGCCGCCAGGGAGGGCCCTGACACCTTTCTAACTGCTAGATGGGGTGCTGGCTGGTTTACCAATCACCTGGTACAGCCGACTAGGCCTTTAAAATGAATTAGGCTGGATTTTATGTGACGCGAGTCACTAACAAGGCAAGTCAATACACAGGGTGATGCCGCCATGAAGAAAATCAAACAGGAATGCTGTGATGGGGGGCGGGGGGCGCGGCGCCCAGGCATAGCGTGGGGTCATGGGGCGGGGCTGGAGAGGGCTTCTTTAGTTTTTTGTTTTGTTGTTTTTTTTTTTTCAGAGACCCTCTGTCTGGAAAGGTGACCCGTAGGCTAGAACCTGAACAACAGAAGCCAAAATGTCAGTAAACTGTGGGTCAAGTGCTGCTGGGAAGCACCCTTCCAGAAGCTTCTGAGAGATGTGACTTCGCTTCCGACTCCATCTGCTGCAACACCTGTGCACACGGGTGCTTGACAAGGGCTCGCTGTGGCAGGTGGCTTACCCAGGCCCTGCCCAGCTCATGAGGACCGCCTTCTTTCTAGGCAGGTCCCTCCCAGCTTCATTAGGAAAAGTCTCCAACAGCTAGACAGTGTGAGAGAACATCACATAGACCGCCATGTCCCCACTACCTCGATTCCCTGCTCACTAAGGCTAACCAGAGGCCGCTTTGAAAAGGGGGGGGGGGTTATCCTTTTGCCATGGAAAGGAGAACAGTGGAAGAAAAAAGGATGAGCAACTGCGTGAAGAAGGGTGTGGCCCAGGTCACAGTCCTTTCGTTTCTGAGGTTGTCCCTCCCGGGCGGGATGCGTGCAAGGACAGACGATGTAGAAGTGATTTTCCTGGGTCTGTGGAATCAGATGTGTCGCAGAATTCAGGCTGCTTGGCGGTGTTTGCACTGGTGTGTGTCCGAGTGAGGCCGATGTGTCTGTGCCTCCGAGGAGGTGTGGGGTGACAGCATGTGCCTGTGCACTGTGAATGTGTGACGAGTGTCTCTGTCTACGTGTGAGCACCAGTGTGCATTTGAACACACGCCTGGGGACACAGCCACAGGGCGCAGCCAGCGCCAGCCAGGGAGGAGCTGGGCGCAGATGCCTCTGCCCGGGAGCTGGGCGTCTGCGGATGTGCCCTGGCGCCCTGACGGGCAGGGCTGGTGTCGCCCACCTCTGGGGTCCCTGGGCTCCAGCGTTAGAGCCAACAGAGAGCAGTGCAACAGGTGACACTGGTTGTGCCGGCAGCCCGGCAGACTTTTAAAAATTATTTTTCCTTACATTTTGGTTAACGATCATTGCTCTAAGCTTTTGAAAAGCTGCTCAGAGAAGCAGGACCCAGAACGCTGCAGCTGCCTACAGTTTCGTGCAGCGACTGTTCCCGAGGACCACTGGGCTCTCTGCACCACCACTTGCTGAAGCCTGGGTCTGCGGTGGGCTCCTCACAAATGGATGTGCGTGGAGAAGACAAGCGCTAACGGGCAAGCATTGGGAGAGGGTGCCCCCGGAGCTTCTTAAAGGCTTGAAACGGGGGGGGGGCACCCCTCCACTGGCCCGCTCAGACCAGCGGCCCTCCAGCGAGGGTGTGCTGCACCCTAGTCGTCCTTGTGAGGAGAACCGTCTGCTCACAGTGAAGACGAGCAAACCCTGAACCTCTCGCCAAGC